AACTACCCTGTTCATAACAATAACAATATATATAGTGGTATGTGCTCTTTTACATGTGAATATTATTGGTTAACTACCCTGTTCATAACAATAACAATATATATAGTGGTATGTGCTCTTTTACATGTGAATATTATTGGTTAACTAGCCTGTTCATAACAATAACAATATATATAGTGGTATGTGCTCTTTTGCATGTGAATATTATTGGTTAACTAGCCTGTTCATAACAATAACAATATATATAGTGTATGTTGTGGACCTAAGGGTATGATAAAATAATCTTTTCAAAATATGAACTGATATCACAAGGTGTTTCCTTATAATTTAATGTAAGTTAAGGATTTAGGTACTAATTGTCAAATATTTCATATTTGTGGAGATTGAAGTTAGGCAAATTTAGGCATTTGTATTTGTAAACAATAAAATCTGGAACATAGACTGCATTTTTTTGTAATTTTGTATCAGAATGGAACAATTCATAATATACTTCTGCCATATTTGTAATGCCTGCACTTTATATATTCAAATATATTCATGGTTTTCATTATGCTATTGTTTCATTATATTGTTGTGTTCTAGCATGTATTGATACTTTTGGATCTTCTGGGTGCTGCAGACCCACAGTTCCACAGCTATTTTGATGACACCTATGGTTTGTACATTCAGCTTGTCAATGTTGGTAAGCATTTTGTGTTGGAAGGATTAAGTGATATATTCATATATTAATGCAATTTTCTACTAATATCTGCAGTCGCCTAGATTTTTGATAGTGTAAACATGCACAACATATTTGCCTTTAAGTTATAGTAAAGTTGATAAAATTTGGATATTTTTCCTAATTTAGGAAATTTTTATTTCATTATTTCAACTGAATGAAGTTTTTGGTTCCAAAGAATGTAGTAATGAAAATTATAGAAGTTTCATATCATTTTCCATGTTTTTAACTTAATTTTTGATTAATTTTTTTCAATTATCATAACTTATGACATTACAGACAAGAAGGGACCATTTGGCCCTCCAAGGCTGTCCCTGTACACTCTTCAGAATAAAGTAAAAACTGAAATTCACCGTCTATTTTTCAGGAAATAATCTTTCCTTTCTTAATCTTAAGTAAAGTGCCAGCCTGCATTATTTATGATTAATCACCATGTTGGAAAATATAATAATCTTATCTGGAATCTAGCTTTCCTTTTCCATATCTTAAAATGTGTGCTCTCTTGTCCTGTTGTCTAAAGAAAATGAAAATTCAGCACAAAGAAATCAATCCTTTCAGTAATCTTGTAAACTTCAATAAGATATTTTACTCATCCCATAGATAACTCTTCTATTTCCAGAATTATACTAGTAGCTCTCATTTTCAATAAATCAACATCCTTTCTTGGATGAAGAGACCAAAACTGTACACTGTATTCAAGGAGAGCCAAACTAGTCATTTGTATACAGAGATAAATACTCTCTTTAGCTTGAAAATACTCCATTCACAACAGAGTATGCATTACATTTAATACTTAAAGATTTATTGGTAAAGTACATCTGTTAGCACTTAAACAGCTTTATGGGTATACTGCATTGGATAATTCTTACAGCAGTATTGTTGTACAACATCTGTTTCTTTAAAACAGAGTTGGTGCTGAAGTTAGATTTTGTTGTTGGTTTACTAAATACTTTGATTTCCATTTTTAACAAGTGTTTGAACAGATTATCTTGGTCTAGTTTAAAAGTTTGGGATAATTAAAAATAACTATAGTTTAAAAACTGAAAATTCCAAATAAAGGTAAAAAATAATGTATAACAGTTGATTGAATAGTGATAGTTATGCTTAAAATAACTAATTTACTGTTGAACTTACTTTATTGAGCTGTGCAGCCTAAATCTATTAACTAAAAGTCTCTCTTTTGTACATAAACTTTTTCTTATTCTCTTGAAAGAACCTTAAATGAACTGTGAACAAAGACTTAACATTTGGTGTCACTTTAAATATTGTATTAAATCTACATATGCTAGAGTTATAACTTATAGTAATATTGTGAGAATTATAAAAAAAATTGTATTATGGATTAAAATAGTTTGTTGCTGAATAGTTTTCTTTCTGCAAAGGTACACAATGAGCTCGCTGCACTTTGTACACTGCAGGGAATCAAATCCAGGATCTTAGCCTTGTAATTCCATAAACTTACTGCTGTTCAACTGGGGGACTCATTGCTTAATTTAAATATTTTCTTCCTTATATGTAAAGCATTACTGATTTAATTATGACTTATTATTGTATTCAGATATCCTAGACATGCATTTTTTGCTGCTGCTATTAATAATCATTTGAGTAACCTTGTTTTATCACAGTTTAGAAAAACTAAGATATTACATTTGAGATATTACAAATATCATTTGCATCCACATTTTTTGTATGATTATAAAAATAATGCTATTTTGTTAATAGTATGTTATCCAAAGATCAGTTTTACTAATCTAAATAATATCATTGTGTTAAAAACAGGTATTAAATTTTGAAATTAAACTAAAACATAAATTATGCAAGACTTTAAAAAAAAAATCTGAAGGAACTTCTTCGCATTAAAAAAAACAAAACAATTGAGTCATTTAGATTATACACATTTGGTCAACTTTATCAATATACAAAATAATAAAATTGTAATCAAAAAATAAAATCATAAAAATAATGCTTTTATTAAATCATCCTAATAGTGCAATTCAAATTTTCTTATTATGTCCCCTTAAGGTGGATTTCTGTATGTGGTGAGGGGACCTCCCAGAGAAGGTTCTGTATTTTCATTTTACCTTCTCTGGGATCTGAACATCCAACCATGTGTTTGCTGTGCGTGGTGACCCATGAGGGGGAGGAGAGGAACTTGGTGGTTGAATGGTGTCTGGGGCACTGCAACACACCACCTTGGCCTTGAATTCCTGTAGATGGGTGGCCTTGGGGTGGCTCCCCCCCCCCCAAGGGTCAGTCGGCTGGTCCTGTTGGGCTAGGGTCAACTGAGTACCAGTGTTGGGTATTGTGTCTGATGCTGGTGTTTGGGTATAGTGGGTAGGGTACTGAATCATTCTCTGTTTATTATGGACTCCCCAATCCTAGAAAAAAATAAACCTATAAAAAACAGCTAATAGGTAAATGACCACACATTGATGACTCTGTTCCACAGTCACCACCAAAGTCAGATCCTGTATCTTGATTTTTAATTGTTCATTCTTTATCTGACAAATCCTTAGGGTATATGTTTCCCTTTTTCATTCAGAAGGTATTAAAGGGGCTTGCTGGCTCTCCCAAGTCAGTCAGGAAGTTGCGCTCTGGAGTCATCTTGGTGGAAACATCTAAACCTAGGTCAAAGGCCATTGGGGATATACCCATTGAGGCTACTCCCCATGCTACTTTGAATTCCTCCTAAGAAGTAATTGTTGAGAGTGATTTGAAGAACATCCCTGAGTCTGAGATACTTGCTGGTTTCTCCAGCCAAAGAATTTCTGCTGTGCACCGTATCTCCACTCGCAAGGATGGAATTATGCTGCCGACAGATGTATTAATTTTGATGTTTAAATCCCCATGTCCACCTGCTTTTGTCAAGGCAGGTTATCTGAACTGTAAGGTGCGACCATACATTCCTAACACTATCAGATGTTTCCAATGTGATCGGTTCTGACATTCAAAAACATCTTGATGTTGTTCTTTGATGTGTGCTCATTGTGGTGACATAGACCATGAAGCCTATAAGTGTCAACTGGACCCTCACTGTGTCAATTATGGTGTTTCCCACCTCTCTTACTATTGATCTTGCCCTAAGTTGGTGGAGGAGAAAGAGATACAACATTTATGTACTGCCCATAACATTTCTTACCCAGAGGTTCGGAAGTTATTGTCCTCCACTCCATCTCAGACATATGCTGATGCACTACGTTCCACTGATACAGTGGGAGTGCAGACAGATCTTTTCATGCCTCCAACAGAGTTGTTCTCAAACCATGTGAAGAATCTTTTTGCCCTCAATGGATGATTGAGTTGACAAGTCCACGTCTACTCCTATCTCTGTCTCCACCATTTCTTCCAGTGACTGCCCGGGTCCTCTTCCTTCGGTCTTGGCTTCTGGTGTCTGCTCAGGTCCATCTTCAGCCCCGAGATGCAGAATGATTATTCATTGATGCCCTCAGTCACTGAAATCTACGTCTTCTGACAGAGCCCTGCCCACTCGACCTAGGGCAGGGTTATCTGTCCAGTTCTCCTCCACCTAAGTAAAAATGGCCACTTTGATACAGTGGAACTGTTGAGGTTTTCGTTCTAATCTGGATGAAATTAAGGCTTGATTCCTATCATCCTATGCATCTTTTCTTACAGAAAACATTTATGACACCTGCTGATACAGTCACCTTTTGGCAGTTTTCTTTATATCAGAATGACAGGTTGTGTGGTGTACGAGTGCATGGAAGGGTGGCACTGCTGGTCGACCAGAACATGCCCACCTTGTCTGTGTCACTCGATACACACCTGGAGGCCATAGCCATCTGTGTTTCCTTGGGTCGTACCATCGCTGTTTGTTCTCTCTACCTGTCTCATGGAGAGACTTATGATAAATCAGACCTTGATGCTCTCATAGAACAGCTGCTGTTTCCCTTTGTTATCCTGGGAGACTTTGATGGACACAGTACCCTCTGGGGTGGTGCTGATATTGATGAGAGGGGTCGTTCCATAGAGCATATGCTCTAAAATCACAACTTTTCTCTCTTCAATACTGGTTTCTTTACCTATTTTCATGCACCAAGTCAATCTTTTACTGCTATTGATCTATCTATCTATTCCTCTTTATTTTTCTCTTGTTTCTCTTGGAGGGTTGACAGTGACCCAAGAACAATGATTATTTTCCTATTGTAGAAGTTGGACCAGGCTGACCGGCTCTCTTTCACCTCACTCTCAGAACTCGATCTTTCTGTCATTAGTCTTCCATCTGTTAATGACTGTGTGGAGGCAACTAACCAACCACTTGTTGAAGTGGACCACAGAAAATAGTTTTACCATTTCTTTTTCCAAACTCTTTTGAATGCATTTTTGCCACCAATAGGGCCTACACCACGATCCCAAGCTCCGTTTTGGTGATGTTGTTCTTCCTGTGGTCCATGAGGCAAAGTTCTTGGGGCTTATCTTTGACCGTAAGCTTATGTTCATTCCTCACATCAAGCAGCTAAGTGTGAAGTGTACAAGGGCACTGAACATCCTCCTTGTCCTCTCTTCCACCTTTTGGGTAGCAGATTGTTGTTCTGTGCTCAAGATATTTTGTGCCCTCATTCAATCCAAATTGGACCATGGGTTTCTGTTCTATGGTTCTGCCAGAACCTCAACCTTGAAGATGCTGGACTCCATTCACTGTCTGGGATTTTGGCTTTGCACAAGAACTTTCCACACTTCTCCAGTCCAGAGTTTGTACACTAAGTCCCACGAACACCCTCTTCACCTCTGCTGTTTGCTACTTTCTCTACAGTATACTACCAAGCTTCAATCCTTACCACATCATCTCAACTGGAGGTGTGTCTTTCTTCCTCAGTGAGTTGTGCTCTTCCAGAATAGACGGTCTGTCATTTTTATCTTTGGCCTTCGTATCCAGGCACATCTAGCTGAATTGGGTTTGGCATTGGATGGGGTTGCTATTCCTAATGATCAGCCTATTCCACCATGGCTTATTACCATCTCCAGATGTAACCTTTCCTTGAGTCATCTGAGGAAGGCAGATACTCCTGATTGGAAGCACCATCTTCATTTTGCCAAACATCTTTTTAACCATCCTTTTATTCCCATTTATACGGATGGTTTGAAATTGGGTGACTCTGTGGGCTCTGCCATGGTTTGTTGTGGCTCAGTGATTGTTCACAGGATCCCCTCTACAGTTTCTGTGTTCACTGCTGAGTTGTATGCCATTTCCCTTGCCCTGGACCATGTATGCAATACACCGATTGTACTATTTACACTGACTCTCTTAGTTCTCTACTGGTTTTGGAATTGCTTACCATTAGTTCTCACCCTGTTCTCGTTGATATTCAACAATGACTGGCCCATTTTTCTTCATCTTCCATTTCTATCCAGTTTTTCTGGATACCTGCCCATGTCGGTATCTGTGGGAACAAGCTCGCTGACACTGTAGCAAAGTCCATCTGCTTTGTTGCTGTCACAGCCGGGCTTGTCCCATATATGGACTACGATCCTGTATACAAGGAATGGCTTTGTGCCAGTTGGCAGTTGACTTGGGGTGAGCAACATTATAACAAGCTTTTCCAGATCAAACTTTCTGTTGCTCTGTGGCCATCTTGTTTCCATAAGGATTGGAAGAAGGAAGTTGTTTTGGCTAGGCTGTGCATTGGTCACACCGATACACCAATGTGTAGCCTTTGTGACACTCAAGTCACAATAGACCACATTTTACTGTCGTGTCATCATTATGACTCTGAGCAACAGTACCATTTTAAACATGTGTTTTCTAAGGGTTTAGCCCTGACATTGGACGGTGTCATTGGAGATGGTGACACTGTCCAACTTTATTGTATTTTTAAATTTTTATGAGCCATTGGCCTTTTTAATTCTATATGAGTTTTTATCAGATATATTGCACATTGTTTAGTTTTAACTCGTTTCATTTTTACATGTTATTGAATTTTACCTTTTAAAGATTTTTACCAGTTGTTTGGCACAGATAGCCATGTTGCTTTGTGCCAAAAAACAACAAACAACCAACCAACCAACTTATTATGTCTTGAAGAATGAAATAGGAAATAAAATGTCATGGGCTCACTATAAGTGATGGACAAATCCTACTCTTTGATCAAACAAGGGTAGCCTAAAAATGGATACATGAGAATTATAATATGCAATGCACTTGTGTGTCTAGAAAAATTTAATTTCTACCTTTTATGCTGTTGCTTTTGTACCTCATTGAACCTTGCCAAGACCATGGTAGCAAGAACTTATGACAAGAGTTCCTGGTCTGTAGTAACAGCTTAGTTACCAGTGTACATTCTTCTGAACAGCTTCGGCCATGTAATGCATCTTTTATGCTTATCTTGCCTCTATCATGTGCATGTGTTGGCCTTCTCTTTATTGTTTACTATGAGGCTGCTTGGATAACCGATAATTATTTATGAACCATGTTTCTTTGTCATTTATCTTTTCTTTAACTTGACTAAAGGTTCTCTGAGTTCATAACCGGTACAGGTTATGCTGAGAATGGCAGCCTGCACAAATGTACTAGAGCCAGGACATCAGTAGGTGGTCATATTGTCATGTCTTGCAGGATATGACACAATGCTGGGGAACAGTAATTGTATCTTTTTCATTATAGCTAGGCTAAGTTATGTATCAACCACACTAGTATCCAGCAGAAACCAATGGCAAAATACATATTTAGACAAAAGACATAAGGTGTGTGTTTGCAGAGCAAACTGCAACAATCCTTATTTCATCATTTGTAAAACGAAAATTTTGCCCTATGTAAAAAGCAAAGTTTCTGTGTTTGCCCTCTCATAAAATCAAGTTGAAATGTGAATGTAAAAATTAAGGATATGTTTACAAATTGGAGTAGATTCTAACTGCATTAGTCTGTGGATAAGGTTGTTATACATTTTTTTTTTACTATTCAAATGTAAATGAAAATTGTAACAAAATGTTATCATAAATGAGAGAGAGAGAGAGAGAAAACTAATTTTATTTGACAAGATCTTGGAACATACTGTACCTAACAGATGCTGAAATTAACTACTTAAAACTTATGGCAATGAGCTAAATAGCTAAAGACTTTAGTGGGCTTGCTGAAGCACTGACTATCTTGAACAACAGCTCATAGAGATCATGGATTGGTCAGTAAGAAGTCTTGATCTACATTTCTGTGAGACCACCTTTAACACGATATAGGCCTTAATTCACCATGCAATGCCATAGCACTTGGAAGAACATAACCGAGGAAAGGGATAAGATTGCCCCCACAATATTGTCTGCTTACTGATCAGAATTATGGGGGAAAGGGATAAGATTGCCCCCACAATGTTGTCTGCTTACTGATCAGAGTTATACCCCATTGATGCAAAGGCTGTATCAATTCCAGAGGGGCTTATACAGTTTGAATCAGATCCTAATACTGTTCACTTTAATTTTGATGGTACTCATGTCTCACAAGTTGAAACTAGTTTGAAACTTCTTAGTTAACTGTATTCAATAAATAAATGGTGCTCTTGAAATATATTTTAATTTCACTTTTTGTTTCAGTAATTTTACAAACAGCTTAATTATGAAATCTTGCCCTTATAATTTTTGGAATGTCTTATATTGTGGCCTCATCAACAGCAATTCACTAGTTCAAAGCTATTTGAAATTCTGTCAGTTAAGTGTTATTTTTGAAAACTTATATTAATTTGGATTGTAGAAAACAGAAGTGATAAAATTTATAAGCTGTGTTGCTCTGATGCTTTATCCACTTTTAATACTAGAGCCCCCTCGTGGCTCAAAGATAAGTCTAAGGGCTTATGATGCTAAAAATAAGGATTTGATATATACAGTTGGCAGAGCACAGATAGTTTGTTGTGTTGCTTTGTGCTTAAAAACAAACAAACAAATCTAATAGTACAAAACACTTTGGTTTAGTCCAAGCTTACACAGTATGTGTATTGTTTTAGCATAGATAGTGAAGTATGGTTTGAATTATGTAGAGGTATTTATGGTAAAAAGTACTGTAAAATTTATTGGAATTCAGCACCACACAATACTAACATAGAAGTGTTTTGATGTAATACATTAATATATATGTTCCCTATTTTAATTTTACATAACTTTACTAACATATTTACATGTGTTTGCAGAACGCCGTTTGAATGCCATGAAAAGGCTTGAACTCTCACCACCTCTATTTACTACCAACTATTTTTACAACAAAAATTCTTTTTCATTTGTAGAAGATGATCATCTTCCTTTCTTAAAAAGAGGTGAGGTAGTTTTGTTTTAAAAAAAGTCTTAGTACATAAAGTTCTTATATAATGAAAAATAAACTGTTTAATAACCTTGATTTTTACATAATTCTCTTGTTTGCTTTGTAACCACTTTGCTACCTTAGTTTTAAACATAATATTCTAAACTAAACAGGCAAACTTACCTCTAAAATACTAAAACCATTTTCTGGATGAGTCACTGTCATGCTGTCAACCACTATGCGACCAAAGTTCTGAATAATCTTGACACCATGCAGTGCATGGCTCAACTTACCCAGAATTAGTTCTCCACCCTTCCACCTTCCATGTGAATTTTGGCTCCCATATCATGAGGATGTATACAAGATCTGCTTTCTTTCTATAATCCAGATTTGTTTTGTTGACAGTCATGCTGTTAACTTTGCTCACTATCAATTAAGAAGTCAACATTTACTACTGCTGCAGATGATTCAACCAATATCAGACTTTTCAAACTTCTCTTGAGGCCTTACTCATATAGTATACCTATAGTGTGCAGAGTTTCTGTGGCTATATTGTTGGCTCTTATTAATCTATGTATAACATAATATTTAGAGATAACAAGGAGCCACTTGACCCATCATAGCTGTCCAATTCATTTCATCAAATACTCATTTCCCTATATCCAGTTCTGCCTTCCCTAGTGCTCATCAAACCCTCTCATGAATTCTCCCATTGAAGTTGTGTTTACCATGTCTGAAGGCAACATATTCCAAAGGCTGATTACACTGTTCAAAAAATAAAATAGCTAAATCTACAGATGACTTCTACCCTGCCAAATCTTAAATCTATGCCCCGTATTCCTACCACTCTTACCAACATATACAAAAAAAGATGATGCATCGATCATATTTATTCCCTTTATACTTTTGAACATTTCAATCAGATGCCCTTTAACCTTTCTTTTCTCAAGCAAAAATAATTCCCAAACCTAATCTCTTATGACGGCTCCTCCATCCCAGGAATCATACTAGTAGCCCTCCTGCGAACCCTTTCTGACAACTAAACATTCTCATTAGGAGCTAAAGACAGAACACAATATTCTAAATGAGGCCTAACCAGATATCTGTACAAAGAAATGATAATAATTTTAGACTCGTATTCAATATTCTTGTATATACAACCTAAAAATCTATTTGCTTTCCCACTGTCAACAATACACTGCCAGAAGTCTAAAGAAGCTGATAATTTAAACACTAAGATCCATTTTTTTTTCATAACACTATTGAATTGATTTCCATCAAGATGGTAATTGAAGTTTAAATTAAGGTATTTTTCATGCATTTTCATATTTCAGAAGTGTGCCCATTTTGAATTTTACATTTCTAAAAATTCAAATGAATTTCAAACACTTCTGAATTACATTGTAACTCACCTCTTCCTAACTAGAAAATATGTGGTTTTCCATCACGACTGCAACTAAGAAATCTGTATTATGGCAGGAAAACAGAGCTTATAGTACATGCTTCTGACACAAGTGCAATAACTTGCATGGGACAGTAGAGAACTTTGGGTAAGCTGACACATGCTCTACATGTCATCAAACACATTCAGAACTTTACTCACATGGTTGTTGATAGCATGAGAGAGTAACACAAGAAGGAAAGGGTTTTTGTATTCTAGAGGTAAGTACCTGTTTGAAATTCATTTTGATTCTAACAAATTTTAAACTTATATGACACAAGTTCAGTTGGTAAAACCTGATAATTTTATATTATAAACATAAAATTATGTTATTAGTAATTAGTTCATTGTACTATTTGCTATTTTACTTATGACTAAAGTAAATATGTGGTCTCGTGTATTTTAAACATTGTATTAGTGGATTAATTTGGCAAAGTTCGTGCTGCTTTAACTTTGATAATACTCAAGAATAGTCCATATTTTCATTATTGAGTTATGCTGTGGAAACAGATTTTCACCAACTATTTTGAACTACCACTTTTGTATAAAGAATATATTTCAATTGTGTTTTTAGAGTAATCTGTTTATTATCAAAAATGGAAAACTAAACCTGACCAGATTTTTTCCCTTCCCAAATTGAAGCTTAATTTTTTGAAGCAAAATTTATAGAAATTATTATATATATATATCTAGTTGGACATGGAAGTGAGTTTGATTATTAAACAAAATTTCATAAATATTGATACACGCATTCAGTTTTATTCTGAAAGATATGTAGATAATTAAGATTATTTTTATATCTTGAAAACAATCTGTTTCTTTTCTACAATGATAGTAGTAGAAGTGTCAGGTTTTTTATAGGGCTGCAATTCTTTACACTAGGTGTCTGTGACTTGTTGGCAATAAATTTCAACAATAAACAGACAGCACACAATCCACTTGTTTTAGAATAATATATTCAAAACAAGTCAAACATATGTACACAAAATTTTTACACTATTGTTTACCACATTTTTAGTCAAAAGTCTATACAGACTGGTTCAATTAATTCAGAACCCAACTGACAAGACAAATTATTTATTCTCTACTCTGTTATCCCAATACAATCAGTAATAACTTTACTTACATTACCTTGTGGGTTATTACAGTTTTATCCAGAGCTTTAAATAATTCTCTTTTATGTCGAAAGTCCATATAGGCTGATTAAATTACATTAAAACACCCTTTGACAAGACAGATTATTCTCCTTATCTCTGTTAAACTGTGGAATATCATCCATTGATCTTGTGTTGCCTGAGGTCTGTCTTTCCTAATCTACCTGTATGCTGGCACAGTAGGTCTTGTACTTCTTTCTTCTTCTTTCCAGTTAGTTCTTCACTTATGTTGACGTCCTTGTATGTCTCATCTCCACCCAGTGGTCTTAAGCCTAGTAGGTCTTTATCTTCTATAACGAAGTCACTGTCTTCTGGTTCTGCATCTATGACAGCTACACCTGCCATATCAATCTGTACCTAAATAGCTGCACGCATAATGTCTTCTTCCTTCTCAAAGTACCTCTTCAACAGATTGACATGGTAGAACTTGGTCTTCCCATTTACTTTCACTTTATAGTCCATTCTGTTGAGAACTTACTGTACTTCAAAAGGTCCTTTCTACTGCCGGGTGAGTTTGTTGTTGGCTGTGGGTAGCAGAACTAAGACCTTCTGTCCGACCTTGAAATGTCAATCCTTACTGGCTTTGATGTGTTTAGCTTTGCCAGTAGAACTACTTTGATAAGTCCAGTTCAATACTCCTTTCCAGTCTTCTGTTTTGTCAGTCTGTTTCCATTTTGCATTGTGCTTGACTTTCTCTCAGGCACTGTCCCAAAGTTTCTGCAGAGAAGGGTCTTTCTTCTGAGCTTTTTTCCACTTTTGTAGACCTACATTCCGGATGTCACTCATTGATACTCGCCAGGACATGATATCTTCCTTTATATTCTTCCCTTGAGCTCTTGTAATGGCTGTAGATGCCACATCAGTCTTCTCTTTGTCTAGTTCCTCCAAATTTCTACTACCTGGTATGTTTCAAATCATCAAGTTGTATATTGGTGCCTTGATACACATGGCTTCAAGGTTTTCTATATAATATGGAGTATCCACCTTTATTTTAGCTATGTGAAATTTTCTCATTGTCCCATCAGTTAGCACACACTCACTGCTGCACTACTGCACCCAGTGTCTCGTAGGACCTTCACTTTCTTGTCTCTGACATAGCCTTCTCCTATTGGCATGTTGTAATTTGTTGGCATCTCTCAATATTTGTAACATGCTCTGATCACTACTGGCACTGTTGATACATTTGCTAACTTGAGCTGACCATTAGCCATATACTGATAAATCATGGAAATGGCACTTCCTTCTTGTGGTGAATCTGACATGTTTTCTTGATTCCATTTCTTCTGGCAGCAGCATCCATGGTGAACAGTCACTCTTGTCTTGTTTCTTACCAGCACTATTTTTGTAATTAGTTCCAGTTGCTTTATGTTGAGATTTCTGCTGTTGCTTGTTGGTGATGGACTTGCACTCCTTTACAATGTGCTATATTTTATAAGAAATATAACATCTCTTTTCCAATTTATCTGTTAACTTCCTGTCACCTTTGGTAGACTCCTGCTTCTCATCAGTCACCACTGGTTTCAACTTTAACTGGATATTCTTGGACTTGCCCATTATACTCCCTCTATAGGCTTCCATATACTGTTCTGCCAGTTCTGTTTTGTTCATCTCTTCCACATCTTTTGGTGATTTTTTCTTTAGGAACAGTGACATGTCAGTTGAGCACGTGATCATGAACTGTTCACTTATTAGTAGGTCAGCTAGTCCCTCAAAACTATTGTCACACTTGGCCATGCCAGTCCATCTTATGAAGTATTGCCGTAAAAGTGCCACAAACTGAAATACAGTTTCTCCAGTGTCAGGTTTGACTTCTTTGAAATTTCAATGAAAACCTTCCTAAGTAAGTTCATAGCATTTCAGCAAGGCCACTTTTAACTTGTCATAGTCTATGGCATCTTCTGACATCATGCCTGCATACACTTGTAGGCCTTTTCCTGCGAGAAGTGGGCTGTTCCAATTCTGACTTTGTGCAAATCTTTTGTACCTCTGCAGGAAAGCAACTATGTCATCTTTCTGTTCATCAAATTTGGGCAGCTTGGGTCAGCTGGTCCTGACCCCATTGACATTTTTCGGTCCTTCATCTTTTTGTTGGGTGAGCTGTGCAATCTCAACTTGTGCTCTTATTCTCTCTCTTTCTTTTTCCAGTCTTTCCTTTCTCTCATTTTCTTCTCACTCCTTTTTTCTTTTAGTCTTTCTTTTTCTCCTCTCTCTCTTGTTCTTGTTGTTATTTAACAAACTCTTGTAGATCATTATTTTTAACCCAATATGCTTGTCTCTTTCAATCCACTTATCAAAATCTGTTGACATGGTTATACATAGTGATTGTAATCTCTACACAGTTTTCACTACTACTACAGTTGTGCATATATAGGCATATATATAGTCAGGGTTTTGAATATGGGCTGGGATTCTTCTACAATATATGTGTCTATGCCTTGTTGGTGATAAATTTGGACAATAAATGGACAGTAAACAATCCACTTGTTTTAAAATAATATATATATTCAAAACAAGTCAAATGTATGTACAAATATTCTTAACGCTGCAGAAAATCACAGTTTTATCTAAAACTCTAAATAATTCTCTTTTCCTGTCAAAAGTCCATACAGGCTGATTCAGTTATTTTAAAGTTCAATTGGCAAGACGAATTATTTTTCTGTACTATGCTTTTACTGTACAATCTGTGATAGATTCATTTACGCTACTTCATGGGTTACTGCAGTTGTATCTGAAACTTTAAATAATTGTCTACTTTTCATCAAAGTCCATAAAGATGAGTTCAATTACCTTAGAACACCCTTTGACAAGACAAATTATTTTCATTATCTCTGTTAAACCATGAACTTACTTTAAAATATTGTCTGTAACAGCTAAACTAACAATCGTGCAGTCTAACTTCACTTTCACTAACTTAACTTTTTTGGACTTCCTTTTTTTTACTTAACTTCTTTTGTTGGTTACCACAGTTGTATCCAGAGCTTTTAATAATTGTCTTTTTCTTTTGTCAAAAGTCCAGACAGGCTGGTTCAGTTACTTTAGAACCCAATTGATAAGACAAATTATTTTTCCTATCTCTTTGTTACAAATTAGTTGTGAAACATACTATAGAAATCATCTGTTAAGGCTAATCACTCAGATGCTGGCTAACTTCATCTTTTCTTCCACTGACTAACATTTTTCTGACTAAACTTTACTTCACTTGCACTCACTTGGTCGTCTATATTTATCATTTTCCAGCTGAGGCCTAGAACTTTCTACGAACTAGGAGACTCTATGATTTAACATTAATCGCATAGTGAGAAAACTTGGAGATTTTGAGAAAAATGACATCAATAATACTACAACAATTGAACTACACACAACATATGACTCTTACCGAGTTACGTAACAAAATTTGTCACAACTATTACTTTCAAAATAATTAACTTTTAACACTCTTGTTATGAAAACTAAATATTCATTAAATAGTAAATCACTAAATAAACTAAATGATAACTATTAAGCTAAACAGTTTTATATATCAAACATCCACTCAAGAAAGTCAATACTTACCTAGTTGCAGGTAATTAATGTAGGATGAGAAGTATGCTAGCTCTGTTGTTTGTTTTAGGATGAATATTGTTGTTTCTGACCTTGTTTTAAACATTAATATCATGGGAATGGATCTCCTATGGACATTATCAACCAGCATAATCAGCTCTGTTTTAAAACCATCCAATGCTGACCAGCCAAGACCTAAACATCAGTGTGCAACATGAATACATGTAAAGGAGGTTTCCATGGTATTTCAGAATGTGCAAGTGTTGTTTTGAGATACATTATGAATTCAGTTTGATGCATTACTATTTATGCTACCAAGTTTCGATTCTTACCACTGCTTCCCATTTGGGGTTGTGTCTTCCTTCATCAGTGGGCTATGCTCTTTTGGAATAGATGGTTTGCCATTCCTCTTTTTGGCCTTCGTATCCAGGCACAGCTGGCTGAATTGGGTCAGTCATTGGATGCTGTTGCTGAGTCCAATGATCACCCCATCCCACCATGGCTCATTACCCCTCATGTGACCTTTCTTTGAGTCATCTGAGGAAGGCGGATATTTCCTATTTAAAGTATCATCTTCTCTTTACCGAACATCTTTCGAGCCATTCTTCTGTTCCAGTTTTTACAGATGGTTCAAAATCAGGTGACTCTGTGGGCACTGCCATGGTTTATTGTGGCTTGATGGTTGCTTTCAGGATCCCCTCTACAGTTTCAGTGTTCACTGCAGAGTTGTAGGAGTTAACCTTTAAAGATCAGAACCTTAGATTTGTTTATTTTATAGACTATTAGTATAATCACACTATGCTGATCAAACTTCTTTATTTTTTCAGGTGTTCCAATCTTGCATTTGATTCCAAATCCTTTTCCTTACACATGGCATTTATTGAGCGACGACAAACAACATCTGCATCACCCAACAATCAACAATCTCAACAAAATTCTTACAGTTTTTGTTGCACAGTATCTTCAACTAAATATTGTAGGGACTTAATGAATAATTATTTTATATTTTGGCTCATTAGCCTCTGTATTTTTCCTTCCCTTTCCTTTGTAACATCTGGTCAGATCATACATTAGTGAATACTGAAGCTGAGTGCCACTTTCAGGGGAAGTCTGTAAAGGATTTGACGTGTGTGTGTGTGGTTCTATACTGATGGTTAATACAGCATTAATGATATAGTTTGTTACAAATTTCAGTTGAAAATTGTATCATTTCAGTATTTTGTTGTATTATTAGTACAGCAATTCTTAATTGTTTACTGCTTTCCACTACTTATTATGATTTTCAGCTTGTGATTGTTGTTCATTTGATTTGTAGAATCAACAAATTTGTATTTAAAATTATTTAAAAAAAATCTAATTGGCTTTTTTTTGGTATTTATCATTTTTAAAGGAAGTTGTATCTGTATATAATGTAATGGAAGATAATATTATCATACATTCTTTGCATAGTGTTTACTTTCATATAAAGACTATTGGTTGTGATGAGTAATGAATATGATTTTTACTCTTCTTGAAATTGATTCTTTTCAGGTAAACTTGTCATTTGTAAAAATTTAACTACTATTTTACAAGAAATATTTACCAAAAATTATATGAAAAATGTGGTAACACAATTAAAAAGTATCAACCCAATTAAGCTGATATAATATGAAATACAATGAAAAAAAACTTCATCTTTTTTTGAACATAGTTTATAAATGGTATCAATACTTTCAAATTACCAAACAGTTTTGAAATTTTGAAGTATTTATATTCTAAACTATACTTGATATTTAAAACATGCTAGCATTATGTATTGTCCTTTTTGTAGTGTACTTGAAACCCTTTACATCATTTGTCACCATTGTTGTTAAAACATGCGTGTATTATTTCAAACTTGCCTTTGCAAATTTTGGGTCACATCAACCATAATCTAGAAAATAACACCACCAAAGTTTAACTTTGTAGTTAAAGAAAGAGATCCCAGTTAAATCTGTAGTTGCTATATTTTCCCTAGAATTTCTTACTTTATATGAAACTAGGGTTTTAATTTCAAGTAAACTTTTGATAGTAATGTTAGAAAAAATATTATTTTGCTATCAATAAGCAGATATATTTTATAATTTTGTTATTTTATGTTTGAAGCTGGTAGAAAATGTAAATCGATCTCTCTCTCCCCTCCACCTTTTTTAAAATTTCACAGCTAGAAATTTAAAGATAAATTGTTGCTTGAGAAAATTATGCTTGTAAGATGTCAAGGCTATTATTCCAGTTTCCTTGGATACTCACAATATAGTGCATTGTATGTATAAACAATTATTCTAATGCTGTATTCACAATTGAAGATGTATGTTTGAGAATTATTACATTGTGGTTATTTTATGCATACGTATACATACACTAAAATGGTATTTTGTTTTGAAATAACCAGTCACCTGCTTGTTATAAAAACATGAAAAACTGTTGAACACAACTTCAGGAAGCACAGTTTTTGATCTTGCTCTGTTGTAACACACTTTAGTCAGTGATGTTTGTATACAAAGTAAGAATTACTATGATTTCCATGTACAATTTTAAACTTCTGTATTTTGATCTCTACCCTTTTCCCTAGAAAACAATTTGTATTCAAAAACTTATTCACTGGAATTAGATTTTTGAGTTAATGAAATAATTTGTAATTTTGATCTTTCATAATGTAACAGTTAAAATACGGTGGATTAAGTCAGAGAAAATACTTTACATTTTTTGTATAATATAAAAAAAAAGATTTGTATAGGCTTTTTTTTTAAACTATAACTTTTATACTAATAAAGTTGGATTTCAAAGGCTGATAAAGGATTTTATATTCTATCAAAATGCAAAAGAAATTTTCAGTTTACTTCTTTAGCACTTTTAAATTAATAAAATGTTTGTCAATTTGTTTCTAATGTAATATGGTATAAGCAAAATAATCACTAACTCAACATAACTTGTAATAACTAATACTGATAACTAGCACAGCTTTTACATTTGTTTTTCATTCTGTTGCAGTAGACAAGATTTATCACAGAAATTTACATTTGTACACTTTAAGCTAATGGTTTGTATTGGCAGAATTTTTATTATGGTAATGAAACACAATATTTATAATGTTACAGTAGACCAGAATATGCTAAGTATTTCGTTATTATTAATAAGAAAAGCATTATGGATTCCTTATTTTCCTCTTACAATGTGTGGCTCTTTATTAACTGAATACATGAACTTGTTAAAGGGTTTCTGTTATCACCTCAATAATAATTGCTTACTACTTATGACTCAAGTGTGAGGTACTATGAATACAATTATAGCACTTCAAAGAAAATTGTAAACAAAAAAATATACAACCTTTTTTTAAGATTCATTTGTCAAAGAATTTTTCAAACCAGATTATTTTAAACAAAATATTACTGTTTAATTAATCTGGTGTTATTATCATTTCTGTTAATTTTTTTTAAAAGGATATATAAAGGTTTATAATTATCACAATGTACTATTTGAAGGTTCTAACTTTGCATTGGGATGTTTCTTAAAATGTTGACCTATTTCAGATTAGAATACTTATTCTTGAATGCTCTTATCTTGACATCCATAATTTATGTTCATTATTGTATTAACATACAACAGAAATAATCACAAACTTGATAGTAAGGATATTTAATTTGTATAACTTGTATAGTTATTTGTACAAAGTTTTTATTTGTATTATATGCAGATGTTATATTTACAGTTATGACTGATAGATATTTATCTTTGAAAAAAACGTTGTTTTTGCTGTAAAAGCATCTCTTTTTATTTTCACTACTTAATGTTTCAACTGTTAGTGCTTGAACAGTGTCTTTTGCTTGCACTTAGTATGAGAGATTTATAGGTTCAATAAATATGTTCATCTGTGTCACAATGTGGCAGTCTTTTTCTTTAAATGTAGGTTACATATCTTATTCTAAAGCAGAAATCAAATATAAGTTGAATCAAAACTAAATGGTTATTCTGAATGGGTTAGTAAAATATATTTTTTGGATTTTTGAATTACATGTATAAAAAAAAAAGGTTATATGTATGAATTAGGTTTTGTCTCAAATGGTGTGTGTTCATGCTGTTAGGTCTTAAATATACATGTGTAGCTACAAACAATGATTTAATAGTTCAAATACATACATGCAGAAAATATAACAAAAAATTTTGTATAACAATATTTATTTCAGAATAAAGAGCATATTACAGACATAAAATTTATTAAGTTTCAAAAACTTTGTTCCTGATACTTATATTTGTATAAAATTATTGATTATTATAACAAAGATAAAAAATATCACATTATAAACTATTTTTAAACAATTAACTCAGCCAATCAGGTTTAACAATGGAGGAAGAAACCTGAACTCTAGCACAATCATATATCATGCTTTTTACACGTCACAGGTGCAATATTAACTATTTATTTTATTAAAAGCATTCCAAACCCAGTCAGCAATATCCCTCTTTTAATTAGGGCATAGAGATGTATTAGATACCGTAAGCCAGAAGCCGTAATTATCATATTATAATGTTTATAGCCCAATGATATAGGAATGTAGCTCGTAGTTATGGCTACATTGCATGCAAAAGTATTACATACTGGAAAATAACAATCTCATGATTGTTCGAATGACGACTCAAAAGTAAACAACTGAAGGAAATCGTTAAATGAAGATGGTAACTAAAAATAACAAATTGGACCAAGCACTTTCTCGATTTCCGTTTTTATTGTTTCTGTCGGTTTAATTCACAGAGTTGTTAATAATGAGAAACAACTGCTGTATGTTATGTTAATTGTTCACAAATTTTAATTAATGACAGCATTAAGCCAAATAAACTTACAAGGCTATGAAAACCAAACACTCTGACCATATGGTAAAAATTATTAATTTCTTCAAGCAATAAGTGAAACAACTGAAAGGGCAAACCAGCTTGCTTGAAAAGCAGGTCACTCATAGTTTCATCAAAAACCTTGAAATCTTTAGAAGCATCTAGCTTGATTAGAAAACAAACAAAAAACATGAAGCCACACAATGAAGGAGAAACAATAATTCTTCCTACTGCGATAAAATGTGTGAGATAATGGAAGGAGAGAGGTATGGTGAGGCCTTCAAATCAAAACATTGATCTAGTCTGCAGGTAGAGGAAAATCTCTGAGTTGATGTATCAACAATTCAGTCATGAATGGATCTCATCTTATCCCAAGCTGGAACCCATTCTTATATACTAAACTGGTGAGTAAACTGAAACTATTGCCTTAAGCTATGTACCATTTTAAGACTTGTTTTATTTTTATATTAGGTGTGGTGAGTGCAACAAAGCGCTTGTTTAGAAAGGGGCACCAAATAATTTTTTGGTGCACCACTGACTTTGGGTATCACTATATGTGAAAGTAGAGAGTGACATCTTCCACTAGTAGGTAGAGTAACATCTTGAGGATATAACCTCTCGTAGTTTTCAATGGGAATGATCAACAATTACGTTTGTAGCACACATGACATGAGAGAACTAATATTATTGGTTCGTGTACATAATGCTATATTTTCGCAGCCTGAGACAGATATACAGATTTTGAGAGATTCTGCAGATTCTACACATAAATAGAGCTCTCTTCGTGTCGTTCTTTATCCATACACACATATTATTTTGATTGTATTTGTTTGAAACAAAGATTGTTTTTGTTTTTTCCTACACTGTGCTAGTCTCTTTCATTCTTCAAACTTATTCAAAGATTAAGACATCAAACTCGTTTTCTGATACATTTTCAGATCCTGGTATTCTGTTAGGGAAATCTATGTCATCAAATGTATATGGATGCATACGTGCGAAGCCCTGGGGGGCAAGTAGTTACAGCCAGTGATATACTGAAATAAAATTTAAATGAACGAATGGGAAGACATTACTTTTATATTTCTTTATATTTTGTGTTTATACATTAAATATATATTATAAATCTGAAAAGAAAATTGTGAAGACGATGTGGATTGTTGAGCATACAAGCATACATAGTAGCTACACCACTGGAAATTAGTGTACCTGAGAATACCACAGAATACAGAGAAAGGAGAAAAGGTTGATGCTGTGACCATATGACTATTATTTTGGAGTTTTCTGTTTCATTCTGATGTAGGCATTTAACAAATATTCTCTTGTATTATTAAGTTTTTTTAAAAAAAGGTTTCATACTTGAGAATTGGTATTTTTGATGAGTCAAATGATTTACGATCAAGAAGAATAGTCAGTCACTGAGGAGACATGAATGCAATGAGAGATATGTCTTGTTTATGTTGATGATGTATCACTATTTGGGTTCAAATTGAAGTTGCTTTCAACTATTGAATGTAATGAAGATAAATGTAGTCAAGTGTTTCTTAGCTAGGTAGTAGCACCATGTATAAAATATGCCTATTCTTGTTAACTGATGAGTGTCCACGAAACTGGGTCCAGACTGTTGATGATACCTGTTGACTGTAGGCTTAGTCTGTGATATGTCATGTACAAACGTATATAACAGATAAAATAGGGTTGTCCTAAGTAGATAGCTTGTATTACACGCTACACACCTAGTTGGTGTTTACTTTTTCTAACAGTAAATAATAATAATAACGAAAAGTGGTAATATCAGGGTTAGACACTTGCCATGTCAGAAAGATTGATCAATTGGTTGGTCAAATAATTTCAATACATGGCGAAGTCAGATTACATTTTAACATAGTTAATAATGACATTTTTCAGTTTTTACACAATGTATTAGTATTAAATCATATTTGTCTCAGATTTATAAACATAATTTATTGATCGCAACTTTAATCAAGTACTTGATGTATTTCATATTGGTACAGAAAAGGATGTTTGAATTAAAACACCTCATTCACATCAATTTAACTTACTGCAAAACAAATTTGAAGCGTGATGATAAAATATGTAATAAATTATCTTTTCCTTACAAGATGGCGCGACGAACTCCAAACGTAAATTGTGCAGGAAAGCTGTCGATGCATGCTGCAAACGGTGTTTAAATATTACATAGATACTGGTTATAGGAAACAGAATACCAGTACCTGAAGTAATACTCATCCACTATTTGCTCTCCAATCATGCTTTGAGAACAAGTAAAATGCTAGTGATAAAACAATTTCGTGTCCGGTTTTAAAGTATCTTTTTTTAGGTGGATGGAATCTAGGGCATGACAGTCTACTAATGTTAACAAATCGCCCTCTTTCTTTTGTTAATGTTACTTTTCTAAATCTACTAAGATGTTCTCACGAAGCAGCTTGATGACAAAGGTCTTCAAGTATCCATGTATCCAGAATTCAAATATTAATTAGAACGGCGTATTTAAGAATTGCAAACTGTGTGATAAACAAGATTACGTCCTAAAACACACACAAAACGTAACGAAACATTCAGTTTTACAATCCATTTTATAGGTAAATTCTAAATTACATTCTTACAATAACTTCTTATAAATACTGAAACTTACTGCTATATTTTAATGAAATATATTGGTTTACATAGTAAATGTCCCATCACTTGCTCCAATAAGGCTAACAACAAATTTATTTTAATTTGTTAAAAAAAAAAGAAAAAGAGAGAGAATAATATATATTTCTGTATTTGTACTTGAAAATGACCGCATTAGTGGTCGATACGTTGTACTTATAAATTATAAAAAATTCCAATTACCCACGACGAATTCGAATATTACTATTCGGTGGGGAAACTCATCCTTGTATTATATTAATTCCTGTGTTTTAATTTATCAAATAAATAGTGAACGATTTTAATATATCGGACGACCATCGTATTACTTTTAGCTATTATTGTATGTTTTCTATATAGTATAGCATGGACCTATTAGTTTAGTTATGTAAGTATACATTTTAATACTTTTAGTTGTCGTGTTGACTACTGTTGATTTGCAAGTTATTGTTACGACAGCGGAAGTCACGCGACGCTGGGAGCATGTGTGCTGGAATTTCTAGAAGGATCATGAATTATCGAGGAACTCCGCGAATATCCTAGTGTTTGCCAGCCACCCTCTTTTTTAGTATATAAGCCTGGCGAGAAAAACCAGCGCAAGAGAAGAGATATAGATAGATTGAAGAGATAGATAATTGAGTCAAGCGAACAGTAGGCACCGTAGGTAAAGTGTGTGAATAACTGTGATTTATAGTGTGTGTTATAAAGGTTGTTAAGTTTAAAATGACTGTGGAAATTTTGTGTATTACAAAAAGTTGTATCGAGTAAGAATAAACTAGTTTTAATCAAGAAGGGACTTGTATCGCTGAAGTTTCTCGAAAAGAATTTTTAGCGGAAATGATCAAACAAGCAGATGCGCAACATTTTTGATGTGTTAATTGAGGTATCTAAATATACATTTCAGTTGCTTTTTAGTTATTAGAGTTATTTTTTACTTGTGGCTGCTCCTCAAATTGGTGAATTTATTTAAACTCACTATTTATTATAAGTTCTGTAACTTCTTGTTATTGTATTTATTTGATTAATTTTATTTTGTGAGTTATATCTCACAAGTTATTTAACCAATTTCTTATTATTGATACATTGTGCGGCACAGAAGTAAGAGGGCACCCCAGAAAAGCATGGCTGAATTGAATGTTGGTGTTCACATTCTTCGACTCATAATGACCACCAGCTACCAAGCCCAAGAGAGAGATGGTTATATCTACCCAAGTTACTGTAAGTGGTAAAAGTGGCGGAGTAAAGAAGATTGGTTTTATTGTTTTTACATAGACATAGAATTGGCCTTTTTTTTACTTTGCTTTCTTTTTTTACGAGTTTTTCGTTGCAAATGTATGAGCTCTTATAAATATATTCAGGTATCATATGTCGTACAAGTTCTGTGGCTCTTAGGGTTAGAGGCAAATAACTGGTTGTTATGTGATTTGTAAGTAATGATTGATTAGAAATAAAGTATAATTTACTTTCCTCAATATTATTAGTTACCATGTTTGAAATAGTTTTGAGTATTATTAAACTGAAATTAATTAAAAACACACTAACTAAAAAATCAAAACATTACAGCATGACGTCTCACCTTCCAAAAAAGGCTCTTTCAACGGTGTGACTCGTTCAGGCCTGTACTAATATTTACTATCTGTATTGCGCCATCTACTGACTTGTACTTAATGGTTTAGTAAAGGCCTATATACCAGCGCAAGGGGGGCAGGGTTTGGCCTGCAGCATTATTTACCAAATAATGTGAACTTAATCTAGCAATATGCCACCGTTCTGAAAAAAACAAACTACCTATCACATTTCGTCCAGTATCTAATGTTTTATAATTTCGCCCAGCCCATGGAGTGATCTGTGAATAATGCACGTTCAGCTAAGAAGGATTATATTATATTATGTCTTCATTTTTATATTCCCCAATTCTTACTCTTAAGAACTGTGCATTTTATCCAGTATATTTAATTCCACAGTCTTTCCATTTCATTTGATAAAGTGAGCCAGAAAGTTTTTAGCTGGTTTGTTTTCAACATATTTTAGTTTAATAAATTTGTCCCGCGTACTTACAGTTTAATTATATGAGTATTATTATTTTTATCAAGTTAACACTTATTGAGATTATTTTGAATTGTTAACTCTACTTCCTATATAGATTGAGGACTATCATAAATTTCTTAACTTGGCCGAAGATCTTGAGATATTATTGAGACTACGATAACAAATATCGTTAAAAACGAGGGTATACAACAGGTGAGTTATTGTATTATAATGATCATAATTTTAGTTTTCTTGTGTATGAACCTAAGACATTATGTAAATTTTGTCAGTTTGTTTTATAGAAGTGTTTATTTAATTTTACACTTACTGTTAAGGACTTAAAATCTCAAAAAGGCGTTTTCATTTTCCCTATTTTAATAGTAATCTCTTTTGTACCAAAATAAAGTATTTGTAAATACTGCTATTTTAATGAAGACATTTGTTCTTTGACATTCACATTTTGAATTTTAACACGTATATTTCGTACAACACAAAGTAGAACTTGTAAGAGAACTTTTTGCGAAAAAATACAAACACGTAAAGTACAATATCCGAACATGAAGGATTATCTAATTGTTGCACTGGAATTGATACCAAGTAATTACATTTAATTTTAACAACTACTGTAAACACGCCATCTGTATTAGAAAAACATAATTCCATATGTTACGAAATATTAATAATTCCCGTATTATAATCTTTATAAATAATTTGTAGCAACCATTTGGCTTAAAAATGTTCAATCGAAGGATTCAAAATTATACTATTTAGAAAGTTTAAATTTCATAAATCTTAAAATGAATTATTATATCATAACAAAACTGTAGGGTATCAACAAGCAAGTTGATAGACAGAAAAAAGTCAAGCCATCACACAAACTGTAACTGATAATTAAAAGTAGTACTTTCCAAAGGTAGAACTTTAAGTGAAAACAAACGAATAATTTGAATTATTATTATTATATGCTTTTTAAAAGTTGATTAAATCAAGAAGTTTGAGTTTCTTCCTTATAAACTAATAAAAAGCAAGAAGGTCTATGAGTAAAACCACCCGAAAAGTAAGCCTTTTCCTTCCACCGCTGTTAATAAAAGGAGCCCTACCAGCTGGATGATTATATGGTGATGCTTTCATTTCTGTGCTTAGACTGGTGAACAATATGGTGCCTATCACATCTCAGCAGGTACTCCGGAATAAGGCCTATCCAGAGTTACCTCATGAGATTAGATCGCCACCATGCAAACAGTGTGGAAGTGAGTGTAAGGTGCAAGAAGAAAATCATGCAAAGAAGGCATATATATACATGCAAGTTTTCCAAACCTTGATCGAAACCATCAAGCGAAGCATCTTCTCAACCTAAGAAAAAAATTTCATTAAAGCACAACAAAGTTTCTTATATTATTTTTCTCTACTTTATGTTAACATGCAAATAATTATTTTTAAATTCGGAAATCACTTTTTTTTCTTACTCAAGCAACGAAATTGACGTCAAGAATAGAATAAACTGGATGACATAGAACATCAAATCTTAATGAATAAAAAGTGTAATTCCTAGAGATAAGAATGGTGTTCGTATTAATATATTTTAGCGCTTTATTGCTGCAGACGCTTCATTAATTTTGAATTCGATATAATAAGGGCAGAATTCCTTAAATGTCACGAGAGTTCTCCTTGAGAATGATAAACCAACCCTGTATGACTGATGCGGTAGAAATGCTATATAGTACTTAATAAAACAGATAAAAAACATTGCTTGAAATTGGGGCAAGTAAGGTTTCAAAAAATGTTTTATCAAAATCTTCTTTCCATATCATATCTAGAATACACAAATACGTCAATACTCCAAAGAAACACCTTTATTTGTTCATCTCACGGTTTTGGATAACAGATCGTTTTTAGACGTTGATAAGCATCTTATTGCGTATTAAGATACACATACGTTTTTGAGTTGAAAAGGTTTTTTCTTTTCAAGTTTTGTTTCCTTCAATTAATATCCATCTATGACTGTAAGTTATTTTACGTAAAGATCAGAATATCAAAGATGCCTTCGTTTTGTGAAAAGGTTTCCGACATTAAAATAAAACAAGGAACTTTTACTCCATTCTTGAAGCCAGTTGACTGGCGATTACAATTGTATTACAAAGTATTTTAAACAAAGCAGTCCTCACAATTTTCCATTAGCATAAAACATATCGTTATCGAGACAGTGATGTAGACTTTGATCGCGGAGTAGGTTAAAAAAGGTTAAATAAGTAAGTGGATAGGAAGAAAAAAATACCACTTAATATACCCCTCTCCCTATATGTTTTAAAGGTGCAACTGTATATCAATTAAAAATATAATAATTTAAAATGCAGCGGTAAGGCCCGTTATGTTTGTTCAGGATAACTTATGCCATTGTTATAAATACTTCAGGCCTGGCATGGCCAGGTGGTTAGGGCGCTTTACTCACAATCTGAGGGTCGCGGGTTCGAATCCCCATCCCACCAAACATACTCGCCCTTGGGGGCGTTATAATGTGACGGTCAATCCCACTATTCGTTAGTAAAAGAGTAGCCTAATTGGCTGTGGGTGGTGATGACTAGCTGCCTTCCCTCTAGGTACGGCTAGCGCAGATAGCTCTCGTGTAGCTTTGCGCGAAATTCAAAGCAAACCAAACCATAAATATTTCAATGTAATTTTTTATAGAATTTTTAGTGAGATGATCCAGAGAGAAAGCACATCTTCAAAACAGATTGAGCTTTGTTCGACAGTGTGTCTGAGTCATAGTTATTACTAATGTTGTAATCGTTTCAGCTACAGAAGAGCGTTTCACACGAGAGATATGTCAGCATAAGAAAGAACTGGAGCGTGGATTCTGTTGCAAAACGATTTATAGTAAGAATGTCGTGATCAAAGTAAACCACTCCTCCCTGCATGCTCTCTTTGATCCATCTAATATACAAGGACAGTGGTTTCCCAGTACCCATTTCATCAGTCCAATCACAAAGATACACATAGGCACTGCATCCGGCAACTTAACGAATAGTTCTTCCTAAAGAATAGCCGTATCAGGCTTCAGGTGCTTGAGCATGTGATGATTGGACAGAAGGTGTGACTGGAAACATTATCTTTGTGAACCTGTATGTTGTTGGCGTCGTTTCCGAACGATCCTTCTTGATTATATTGCGTAATGTTGTCTGAGTCATGTGAACTGTTCATGCCATTGATTCTCACCTCTTACAAGATACCACACTTTGTTTACCATGGCTTTTTCACAAATTTTTCCGAGTGTCTGTTTGGATGGTTCTGGTGTTCCATGGTTTTCCAATGCTATTAAATACAAGGGATATCTCTATCTTGGAAATTCTAACTCATCGATCTGAACATATCTCTATATGATCTGAGTGTATGAATATTTTGCGTCGGTGGCGCCACACTACTTACGTATAGTGCCAAACAAGGTAAAAATGTAGTTCTCATACATTCTCTACCACCGCGGCTTTATATTGGCTGTGGTTTTCACATGACTTTCTGATCTGCATATTCAAAATCATTTTAATATATTGTACTGAACCCTTTGTATTTTCACCAAAATGTCCTTTCTTGATTTCCCAAAAATTGAACTAATTACGTTGAAGGAACGAAAAAGGAATTACAGTAGAATGCCTGATGCAGGATGTGTATAGATTTATATAAAAATGACATATGAACTTTGTCGAACCACAAGATTAAGCATCACATAAGCAAGGTGGTTAGAAAACTTTGGCACTGTTTCTTTCTGTTCAAAAAGCAATATTCGAATATCATAAAGTAAGCAAATTTAATGGAAATATATGATAGCTTTAATCAGGATTGTGTTACATTTCCAGGAGCCTAATAAAGCTACTTTTGTATTTATGGCAAAGTTACTAAGGCTATCTGCTGCTATCCCTAATTTTGAACTACTGGAAGGCAGCTAGACAGCAGCACTCCACCATCCACGCCAAGGGATTGGCTGCCTCTCTTATAATGCGCCTATCCACAGCTTAAAGCATGGGGAATATTTTTTGGTATCACACGAATTCAAACCTGGCTGATCAACTTCAAAATCAAGAGCTTTCCCACAGGGCCGAGTTTCAGGTGTAGTCGCTCATTGATCATTTTGTTTCAGAATTACAGGCAAAGCTACACAAGGGCATAGCTCTTCTTTAATTTTGAGCTGATAGACTAGACTGGAGGAAAGGTTGCTAGTTAAGAGCATCAACTGCCAGTTGTTGTTTGACCGAATAGTTGTATTTGATTGTCATGGCTCCAAAGTATGTGACAACAGCTCGCGAACCGTGAATTCTCGGATTCACAGTTCGGATACACTAACCAGTAACCCACGCCCGGCCTGGTCATTTTAGAAATCAACTTATTGGTACATTTTTTGACGAGGTCTTACGTATCTCAGAAATTACAAGTGGAAAATTTATGTTTGGGACAATTTCAAATCGACGCCTTAAAGATAGTAATATTAAGATAATCTATTTCAAGTAATTTAGAGAAAACGGAAAAATCTCATGTAAAAAAATATGAGGGGGGGTCTAATAGCCGTGAAAAAACAACAAAACATATTTTAATGACGCAGTTGACAACCGAATAAAAAAGACCTTAATTGTACTTGTTTGAGGTTAACCTCGTGTAAATTCCACTTTTTTGTCTGTACTCTCTTCTCTCACTTTTCCCCAGACTGTTACAAGCATGACATATTGAAAAGGGAAAAGCTTGAAGAACAATACAAAAAAAACAAACAACAAAAAAAAAAACAGCCACATATCTGACTCGAGTAAAACAAGGAAAGTCCGATATCCCAAAAGTCCACAAGTTAAGTACTACAGCCAATGGTCTGCATGAACTCTTAAGCCAAGCCAGGTGTATAGGTTTCTGCACTGTCTTTTGATTGAGCTATCTTTCAAGAATGCCACAGAGAAACACATTCAAGGACAAATGTAGTCTTTACTTGTGTAAAAGGATTAGCACATGTATACGGTATTGAGACGTCCTTTATATTATTTGAATAAACCTAAATAAAAACAGTTATGAAATGGTGAAGCTGATGGCTGTTACGGTTATTGCACTTCGGTAAAAAATATGAAAAAATGTGCACATTCATGACTATCGCAGACGATAAAATTTGCTAGTACATTAGCAACACTTACACATAACTGTTTATAGCACTTTATCATGACTAATTGTTAAGTGTAAATACATTTCATTATAGCGGTCTAGTTGAACTATGATGACGCCATTTTTGGTCTCGGGAAACATCCGGGCCTTACTAGACATAATAAAACTTGTGATTATATACAATACACATAATCCCAGTGACAGTTTTAAACTATTGTATTTGCTCTTCGCAAGTAAAAATAAACACATAACACGGATGTAATAAAAAAACATCGTTTAATAATACACAATAAATATTAAAAAAAATAGTCACAAAATGCAATAAAAAATGTTTGTTTTACCTGTATAAAGATGACGTATAAACGAGACTGGGAACATTCTTATACACTACGTGTTTCAACGTTTTACTTCGTCATCAGGAATGCATGATATACTTCCTTATATTGTAAATTATTAAGTAAATCAAAATTTGTATTGTATTTTGGGACTGGGGACAGTCTCATTTTTAAATATTTGTTGTGTATTATTAAACGTTTTTTTTATAATACATCTATGTTATTGAAAACTTACACGAGTGTCATCCCATCTGAAACTTACTTTAGTTGTTGTTTGTTTTAACGTAAAGCTATACAATAGGCTGGCTATCTGCACACTGTCTACTGCAAGGAATCGAACCCTGGATTTTAGCGTTGGAAGTCAGTAAACTTAACGCTGATCCACGGTGGGAAAACATGAGGTTCCACTTCAACCTTTTAGGGGTAGTGTACGCTCCTTGTAAACGTATTATTAGATTGAAAACTGTTTCACAAAATAAATACATTATGAACGGGAAGATTTTTTGTAAATCATACATCTATATTTCAACAAATTTTAATATGTAGTATGCTTGTGAATAGGATAAGATATATAGTCTTTTGTACGGAGCTGTTCAACTCATCAAACTTGAAGGACGAGAAAAATAAACAATTCTTGATTCTACAGTTTTTGCTCAATATCCCTGTGTGCATATATGTATGTATGTGGGGTTTATATAGAACCGATAAATAAAACCAACATTATATGTGATATTCGCAGAAAGCAACAATGTTAACATATAGAGGAAAAAAGTTATCAGTTCAGTTACTGATGGGAAATATTTTTTCTTTGATCATAAGAAAAAAAAAAGGAAAACGGGTTTTTTGTTCTATGCCCATCGCTGCTATCGAAGCCAGATTTTTAGTGTTATAAGCTCTCATATTTACCGTTGAGCCCCCTGGGGCAAATATTTGTTTGTTTGTTGTTAAGCACAAAGCTACATAGTTACAAGTTCTAAGACTTACCGTTGAATCAGAACTATTTTCCAACAGCTTCGGTGCTTCAATCTTTTACTTTCAGTTTCCTGTTCTGTTGGAGCTTCTTTGTTCCTAAAATGCATGGTTTAGGGTTATCGGTCACTGAATAACTTTTTGGAAATAAAATCTGATTGCACTTTGCACATAAAATTAGTAAAAGAGCACACCACATAAAAATAAAGTTTTAAAGCTACAGTGTTTTAATAGAAAGCCAGTGACGAAAAAAGTATTTATCATGGAGGTTGATTTGGCAGGAAGCAAGCATATGGCGGCGAGAGAAAACCGAGGACGGCCGGAACAAGACCTAATAATATGAGCACACACACACAAAACGGCCGATATGGGATTTATGGTCCATCATGGCGGCGGGTGATCTATAAATCCAATGCCTAAGATTAGGTGTTGGGGGAATCGGGAGTTGGCGCCAATAGTGCTAGTGCTCTATGATGCTCTACTAATTTGAAAATTGAATGACTGACGGGTTAATGTTTTATAAAGTCCATCTTGGATTATAAGTCCTTAGAACGATGTTTGTGATAGGTATTGACGTGGGATGGACTGTTGGATGAGAGGTGGCAAAAAAAGGAGAACTGGGTATCTGCTTCAACATCATGGAAGCACAAGTGCAGTTTTGAATACCATAGACGTGACCGACTACATCATAGATGACGTCATAGTTATAAACGCCAAGAAATGCTGTAGGAAGGGAACGATCAAGAGTGTTTGTTCTCTCATCATAATTGAAGTTATTATTATTTTTAACAATAAGCCAAGCGTGTATATCGCTGCATGTCATATACGTAAGTAACTGAGCAGAGTGTAAATAGGAGTCGTCTGCTGTTGAAATAAGCTTTTGTTATCTGACCAGTTTGTTAAATTCCACTGATAATATCGGTTTCTGCTTGATCAGGTTGTGTCACTTCTGAAAAGATACGGTTATCAATGGTTAATATGTGAAACCAAATATTGTTCTTTCAGGGTTAGGTAATAAGGCTTGCAATGATTCGTGAATATGGAAAGTATGCTTGCTTCCATTACTTGCAAAATTATTTGTCGATTTACAATACACGGAGATGTTAAAGTCAGTTTGGACAAAACTGGCGCTACTGTGATAAATAGAAAAAACGTCGAAGTTAGCTTTTCTGAGAATGATTTAAACATGTCACGTGGTAGTCGACTATAACTTAATGGATTTGTAGTAATTTAAAAATCAATTATAAGCTAACGGAAAGCTAAAGATAAAAAAAACAACATGTTCTAAGTAAAATTAAAAGAACCCTGAATATTTCCTTAGCTAAGCAATTATTTTTTTTTGGGGGGGGGGGGGAGATAGAGCAGGATAGAGTGAATAAAAATTTGACAAATACAACAAAGGTAATGACATAACTAACATAATTTCTCAAAATATATGAATGCAGACTCTGTTCATACCAGTTCAAGTTGATTCCGTAGTTTCATTTTGCAAATAATGACGTACTTTAAGTTGCCTTTTCATTGGTTCTTTAACTAGGAATATTAAGTCTCATATCCTTGTTCTACACTTCCTTACAAGTTACATAGCTTCTGAGAGTCAAGTGAACTTGCACTGATACTTGGAAAATGTAGCCTGCGTGATCAAAGAGATTTAATCACTTTATTGTGTCGAACATAATTTTGTGGCCAATATTCTTCTTGTATTTCGAAGCTCTTACAGTAATAAAATGTGCAATAAATAACGGCCAATGTTAAGAGCAAACTTTACGATATTGTGCCAGTAAAGTTATGATAATAATTATAAATAGATAATCGGTGTTAAGTTTAGAATAAAAAACTAAATGATGTTGTGCTATTAGTCCTTACCCCCAAAATCTGATTCGAAAATGACTTGAATAAAATCAATAATAAATATGATTTATTTACTTAATCTGGTTCACAGCATAACAGTCGTTGTTCGTGAAAGTTCGTGGAATGAATAGCACCTAAACCACTAAGTCTCTCGAATTCCAGGGCCCCGGCATGGCCAGGTGGTTAGGGCGCTTGACTCGCAAGCTGAGGGTCGCGGGTTCGAATCCTTGTCTCACCGAACATGCTTGCCTTTTCAGCCGTGAGGGCGTTATCATGTGACGGTCAATCCCACTATTGGTTAATAAAAAAGTAGCTCAAAAGTTGGCGGTGGGTGGTGATGAATAACTGCCTTCCCTCTAGTCTTTCACTGCTAAATTAGGGACGATTAGCAAGCCTGATGAGAACTGACATGTGGTGAAATGCTTCGTCGGCGTTGGATATGGCAGATGTAATATAGTTGATATATCATAACATATTCTTCCATTGCTTTCACTCACAGGTTCTTAGAACAATATATGTTGCATACATTTTTCACAAGTCTTCCAAGGCGAGTGTTGTACGGTTCTATTTAAAAACACGAACAAGTTTAGGTACACAGGTACCCATTAAAAAGGCTTCATGAATACAAAAATCCCGTGGATACTTGGTTTATATGCATAAAATACATAAAAGTTTAAGATTAATGTTTAACACATCGACTGCCTTTATCATCTCCAAGTCAGGACACAAATTAATGACTAGTCAAATACTATGATGAGGAGCTGCAGATAATAGTTCAAAGATTGTGTGGTGGGGATGGGGGCTATGAAGTGTGGATTTACTTAATACTTGTTTTTCATATGATTTATTCAAGGAAACGTACAGGACAAAACTTAACTTGAAGAGGCACTTTTCCTATACTCTTTTGTTACAGTTGGAAAATAGTTAATGGGAAATGTTAATATGGGCTGGGCGTGACCCATTAGTTAGCGTACCCGGACTGTGAATCCAAGGATTCGTGGTTCGCCGCTCGTTGATGCAAAATCGTGCTCAGCATATTGGGTCCGTGGGTATCTTATAAGATTAAGGTTAAGTCCCACTAATCGGTCAAATAAGAGCAACCCAAGGATTGGCGGTGGGTATTGTTGGCTAACTTGCCTGTAGTCTTAAGAGTTCAAAATTGTGGGCGATTGTGTGAAAATAGCCTTTTGTGTAGCTTTATGTGAACATTCTGAAACAAACAAACACTGTCAGTATAGAGCATTGAATTAGAACGGGGAAATCTAGTATAAAAAATAGCATAATGGTGGTGGCTCGAAAAATAATGAAATCGAAGACATCTTTGTAACAATTACAAAGTTACTCACTTATGTAACATTCGAAAAAAGAAAGAGTCTTTCGGTCGCACTTGTTCAAGCGACAAAGAACATTCATATGAAAGACGTGTGTTTTTATAGTGATGTTACAGAGTAGAAGTTCCATTTAATGTTTTAAACAAGGCTGCTGTGATATTGTTTATGAACAATATGCTGCACAAGGAACAAAACATTACCGTTGTCCCGCCTGTATAAAAGGTGTGCCTGCCTCGATAAAGGCCTTTGCGCGAATAAAGCCTGGGTAAGCGTTACCATAGCAACATGTGCAGGCCTTCCGCAGATGGCAAAACCAACGCATTACTTTGGAGATGTGCCAACAATAATTCCCTATATAATACTGCTTAAACACCTACATTGTAGCTGTACAACAATGCGGACGTTCAAGTTACTTGCGATTGTTATGGTATTTTGAAATTCGACGATCAACTCACTGTCTTATTTAAAGCTCAGTTTCTAACATCAGATATCTAAACAGATATTTGAGGTTAAATAAATATGGTTGTAAATAACTACCGAGTTTGTTTAGTTCAAATTACGTGATTTATATCACCAGGAAATAACTGTCCCGACACATACAGAAATATATATCTTATCAAACACGAGCACAAAGATCATGAATGTTTTCCTATCTAAAAACAGGATGACATTAGCTCAGGTGCAGAATTAGACTGAAAGCGGTTTATGTCTGGCATGGCCTGGTGATTAGGACGCTCCACTCCTAAGCTGTGGGTCACGGGATCGAAACGCGTCACCGAAACGTGCTCGCCCCTTTCAACCGTATGGGAATATATGATGTGATAGTCAATTCCACTATTCGTTGGCAGAGAGTTGGCGGCGGGTGCTGTGGCTAATTAGCTACCTTCCTTCTAAGTCTACCACTTCTAAATTAGGGACGGCTAGCGCAGGTAACCCTCGAGTATCGATGCGCGAAATTCAACAGACGAAGAAAAAACAGAAAGCATTACGTTGTAGTGCCTTAGGAAACATGGAAAAGCAAATACAGCTTGATAATTTCTAGTGAAGACCTTTGGATCAACTGGAAGTGAAGTGGTGATATCAGCTGCTCGAGGCTTTTGGATCAACTGGAAGTGAAGTGGTGATATCAGCTGCTCGACATACACCTGCAGATGCTCAACTCAAACTAAATTCATTTCGATAAAACTGGCTTTGGTTTGTTGTAAGACATTAAGTTGCTCCTGAAGATAAGAAGTTATTACGTGATAAAACTGGCTTTGGTTTGTTGTAAGACATTATATTGCTCCTGAAGATAAGAAGTTATTACGTGATAAAACTGGCTTTGGTTTGTTGTAAGACATTAAGTTGCTCCTGAAGATAAGAAGTTATTACGTGGTAATTTTATCTCTTATGATAATATATTTCATTTCACAAAATCCAGGTCTATAATTAATCATTAAAAAAGAAACCGCATACTAAAGCAAGATATATATATATAATCGAGTAGTTAAAAGTGATTTGTTAATATTGTCAAGCGGTTTACCTTAATTGTCCCGCTCCTTTAAACGGGGTTCGAACCTAAATACACGTCAATGGTAACACCTCCCATAGCGACATCTTTTGGACTAAAACACAACTAACATGTTAATAAGTGCTAAGTAATTCATTAGTTATTTTACTTCGGTTTGTTTGTTCACTGCGGGGAATCTAACCTCGGCCTTTAGCGTTGTAAGTCCGTAATCTTACCGCTGTCTCAACGGGGGACTTCATTTCTGCATTGTTTAAGTTCAACGATATAATAATTATTCCACGAATCAGAAGACAGATTCAAGAATTTTCTCGGAAGTGTTGCTACTCCATTTGCTAGTTTTGGCACATTTACAAGAAACGTGAACACTGTCTTCTCCTGAAAACATAATGCTAACGAGGTTAAATGCCGCTTCATGTTGGCAACTAGAAATGTATGAGGATATATTTTATACACTCTATGTATATATATCTAAATATATCTTTTCGTATAAAAATCAGGCTACTTTGTTCAAAATCTGTCCTTTTATAAAAAAGTCTTAAATTCGAAGTTCATTAGACTGTTTTTGAATAACATTTTAAGGTTTTGGTTACTTACTTACCAACTAGGAAAAATCATAGGTTGATAAAGTTTTTAAATCTGCTCTACCAGTGACTTATAGCCGTGCCTTATATATGACGTTATCAATAATTCGCTTCATATTATTGTGTTTGCACTAACTTCGTTGTAACTCTGTGACAAATGTATTATTTTTAATCTTTGAATTTTAGGGTGATATAGAATCCAAGCACTTTTATTTTGTTTGTTTGTTTGTTGTAGAGCAAAGCTACGCTGATCTATCTGCTGTGTCCACTGCGTGGAATCGACCCTCTGATTTTAACATTGTAAGTGCGTAACTTGTCGCTGTCCTACCGGGAGACTTTCATTTTACTAATGACTAATTTTTGTATTTTATCATTATGCTAAAAATTATTGTATTGTCATATGTTAGTGGAAGGTTTTGAATATAGTAATGTACATTCTTAAACAAATTATAGCTAAGAAATAAAACTTACTTTGGATTGTGTAAAACAGTTTACCAAATATAGCCAGCATTATTGATAGGATACGATAAAGTGTAAAACAGTTTACCAAATATAACCAGCATTATTGATAGGATACGATAAAGTGTAAAACAGTTTACCAAATATAGCCAGCATTATTGATAGGATACGATAAAGTGTAAAACAGTTTGCCAAATATAATCAGTATTATTGATAGGATACGATAAAGTGTAAAACAGTTTACCAAATATAACCAGCATTATTGATAGGATACGATAAAGTGTAAAACAGTTTACCAAATATAGCCAGCATTATTGATAGGATACGATAAATTTATCGTATCCTATCAATAATGCTGGTTATATTTGGTAAACTGTTTTACACTTTATCGTATCCTATCAATAATGCTGGTTATATTTGGTAAACTATTTTACACTTTATCGTATCCTATCAATAATGGTGGCTATGTTATCGTTTGGAGAACTATTTAAAAACTTTAACGTGGACTTGCTAAGCCTTATTCTGTTTTACGATGTAACTACAAATATGTTAATTGAAGTAGTTGTCTTACCTCGAACCACATCACTAGCACACTCCTGGCCTGTTCCAGTAGTGACAAAACTCCAATTGTAACGGAAGTTCGCAAGAGACTCCTGTCTTTGCTCCCCTTCGTATAGTCAGCCAACTGGGGATTAAATTACAAACGGCGGATCGCAAGCGTCACACACGAAAATGCACCTGTGTTCGCCAACGTAGTGTAACGGTCAGGTGCTTGGACATAAACATCTGTGTCATATGACTAAAATGGAAAGTAGAACAAAGAACAACAACAAGAGAGAATATCCAGTGACAACCGCAAAAGGCTTCACAACTATCATCCATAAATAACGTTTCCACCACCTGTTGACTTTCAGAATGTGATGAAAAGTCTCTTTGTTTTGTGACATATTGTAGACGCAAATAGAAGTTACATACTATAATGAGTAATCTATTATTTTCAACTAAAAAATATTTTATGCTAAAATATAACATAGCTAATAAAGATTAGCTTCAGAGCCTGTATACCAGAATAAACCTAGTAACGCAGAATAGGTTTCTAATGGCTCTGGTGAAACACGTGGTGAGCAGAGTAAAGACAGTCCATTGTGTTTGTTTGTTTGTAGTTAAGCTTAAAGCTATAAAATGGGCTGTCTGTTCTGAGCCCACCACGGGTATCAAAAACCGGTTTTTAGCGTTATAATCCCGTAGACTTACCATTGTGCCACTGAGGGCGGACAACGAACATAATGTCAGTATTTCGATTACTTGGATAGTTGCAATAATCAAAAATAGTAATAACTGGAAACACCGATTTCGTGATTTGCGACACTAACTGATCAAGCTGAGCTAACTTGAATTAATCAAAACTAATGAAAAATCATTATGGCAATATTCCAATTACTGGATAGTTGTATAATCAAAAATAGTAATAATCGTAAACACTAATTTTGGCCCTCCGGTGGGTCAGCACTAAGTCTGAAATTTGGGGTTGGATTCCCGCTGTGACTAGAGCGTAGATACTCCATTATTTAGTTTCATAGTTAATAACAAACAAAAAACTACTGTGAAGCTGGAAAACGTTAATAGTAATGATTGTGGCTTCAGAGTGTGCTTAAATACTTGTGAATTGAACATCAAGAACATTTTAAATATTTTGCATGCACATGTGATCTGATTGAGGGACGAAAAGAAAAGACATCACGCATAAGAAAGCTAGCCAAATATTTGGGAATAGAAAAAGAAGTAAGTATTCTAGGCAGCATTGTCATTTTAAAAGAATTGCAAAATTTGAGTTCAGCAACAATTCTGCTTGTCCTGTGGACACAATGAAGAGTTGCAGGTGTCGTCACTCACCGTCAGATATCACATACTCTATACCTATAACATAAGTGTTGGCTGAACTCAAATGTTGACATGAAGTGACCACAGGCAAGCAGAACTATGGCTGAACTCAAATGTTGACATGAAGTGACGACACAATGAAGAAATGAAGAGTTGCAGGTGTCTTCACTCACCGTCAGATATCACATACTCTATACCTATAACATAAGTGTTCACAGGCAGAACTATGACACAATGAAGAGTTGCAGGTGTCGTCACTCACCGTCAGATATCACATACTCTATACCTATAACATAAGTGTTATCACTTCATGCCAAAATTTGAGTTCAGCCACAATTCTGCCTGTGAACACTTATGTTATAGGTATAGAGTATGTAATATCTGACGATGAGTGAAGACACCTGCAACTCTTCATTGTGTCGTCATTTCATGTCTGTTTTGCCAACACACATACACACGTTTTTATTTGTTTTCAACCAATTATATTACTATATTGTGTATATTCTAAATAATAACTTTAAACTTTCTAAACAGTCGAGTCGTTCAGGCTTGATTGTAATCTTACGAATAAAACCAAAACTGAATAAAAGGTGTACCTCCTTACCCCTCAACTTTACACCCCTGATTATGAAAAGATGGCGGTTGTTAGAAAAAGCAACTCTTACTTTCCCGTTGAAAGCTTCATCGCCAACTGTGTTTTTTTTTTGTGATATTGATAAGTTATTGAATTCTCGAAAAAACACAGCAAAACAGACTAAAATACGAGATTGGCAACACTTCATTTGGATAAAAGAATTTTTTCCAGCTTTGAAACTTAAAAAAGTTTCACAGAAATAAAATAATAAAAAAATTATATAATCGACTTTTGTTATTCTCATTTTTATTGCATGGGATAGATAGCAGTATAGTTAACAATAATATCTATGGATAGCAGCATTGTTAATAATAACATTTGTCAATAAACACACACAGAGTTATAATGTATGAATCTGACAAGTTATGATAATGGTGGCGACTTTCTTATTGGTGAAATATATGTAGAATTACATATGTAAAATGAATGGATCAGATTTATTTCATCAGTTGAGTAAAATCGATGATGTCGATAAGAAACTGAGTTTTAAAATAAAAATGAGCTAAAACTAAAAACAAAAAGAGTTGAAACAAGTTATTTTTATAATTTTTTAATTTGAATTTGAAAGTGAATGTAGTAGACCAAAGATAAAAAAATGGCTTCAAGAAAAGTCAATTTTACATAACTCAGTGGAAATTTTTTGGACTGAAATGTTCATGTTCTTCTTGAGTTTGCTTTTAAAAATCTTTAAATATTTTAGAGTAAGGCGTGATGTGCAAATCTTAGGAAGATTCCAATTTGGATAGAGCATTATAAATTCGATAATATTGTTCTTTTGGGATGTATCTGCTATTGTGGAGAAATATGGTATGATAAAAGCACATTTTTGAATCGAATAAGGGTCAAGCATGAATGTCCACTGTTATTTTTGTTTTCTTTGATTTTGCTATTTAAATCCTAGCCAAGTATTTTAGAGCCGAATCAATTATTTCAGGTATTGAAATTGCTAACTCTAACTGTGATGATGTCACTCCTTTTTAAAAAAGTTATATAGGTTGCTAGTTTTAAGAGTTCTTGCCAATGTGATCCTCCTGTCTGGAATGAAGGAGAACTTAGAGAGAGAACTCCTATTTGAATCATTATAAGTAAAGAAAATATCAGGTGAAAAATTGTTTATGTAGAAATTATTGGTGTATTTTAGTAACTATAAAATAAAATTAATAAAAAAACTTAATTGAGAATGATTGGGTAAAATACAAATAGTAAAAACGTTGAAATTTCACAACTATTACATGTGGGAAATATTTGGTATTTTGTATTTTCAATCAGAACCGCACCTTCTGCAACATATGGGTTATAACACCAGGCCGAAGACTCTAAGATTTATAATGGCTGGAGACGGCTTAAATGGGTAATGAAGAAAAACTTTAATATAAGTTTAACATGACAGCAAATGTACAACATTTCGACAAGGTTTTATCATCATCAAATGCTGATTACAAAACCTA